TTTCTTTCCATTGTTATCTGAATGACAAGCCTCATCCCAGAAAGTGACTGTGCTAGACAGGAGACATTGCGTGCCCTCCTTATCATCTTGGAGCTCTCAGGTAAGCCTTGGACCGCTAACCACGGGGTCAGAGGTTCACAGCCACCAGCCACTCCTCGGGAGAAAGACAAGACTACGTATCTGCGAAAGTAAAGATTTACCAGACAGAACCTTGGAAGCCCTACGTGGGGGAACTGTGGGTCAGAACCCACTCTACGAAAGTGGGTCTGGTTTTCTGATCTCAAGTCTTTTTATCATTCAGATTTTTTATACTGGTATGTAAATTTTGGAGCTTCCATGTCTTGTGTCTAATTTGTTACCAGAGTACTGTCTTTGGTGAAGCCCTGGATGCTGCCTCCGTTTATTGTTTGCGGTCTCACTAACAGGATCCCATCACTTCATCTGCATACTGTTCCTTCTCTTTAGCACCCTGCAGTTTCAAGTTGTCTGGAGCACATCAGCTAGTTTCTAAGAAAACACACTCAGGAGATATATCCTGCGGCAGTCAGATTTTATGTCAACTTGATCTGGTGTGACAGTGTTAAGGGAGGTGCCCAACCTGTCAATCAGCTCACAGCCTGATGATGCTTCCTTTGGGGGGGTGGCTTTTTCTATAAGAGAGACGCTGGGAACGTCTCTCTCTGCCTCTTCAACTTCCTTCCTGCTGGGACTCTGTATTTGTCTCCTGGGGCAGCCCCATGGGGGCTGCTGGCCCTGGGAGCCAACCTGTCCCACGCTGTCAGCGCACTGCCACGTTCCCACCGAACTTGGATCCATGAGACCCTGCAGATGAGGACCTTCCTGCTTGCCGCCTCACCTTTCTGATCACCAGCCTTTGGCTATGTGAGTCTGAAGAGGGCCCCAACTGGCATCGGACCCATGAACTTGAGTTGGACTGGGCTAGGACGCCTTCTTGATATAGATTACTTCTTGCTATAAAGTGCTTTCTTACAACCAAGACTAACACATATCCCATCCCTCCCTCCATAGTCTCCCAAACGTGGTACAGTGATGAGGATCACACCTTTTAGTGTTAGCGGCCATCAAGTCAACCTCTAACTCACGATGGTCCTACCAGACCTATGCATCCTCATCGTGGTTTGCAGACTAAACTGTTGGGAGCCTTAGGGCTTTCACTGGCTGACAGTTGGCAGTATACAGGCTTTCTTCCTAGCCTTAGTCTGGAAGCCGTGATGAAACTTCCTGCATCCTGCCACAGACAAGCCTCCACTGACAGGCAGGTGAGAGCTGCGCACAAGGTCTCTGGCAAGAAAGGTGAGAACTGATCCACTAAGCCACTATTGTTCTCTCTCCTTCATATGGCTTTAAATTGGTGCTTAACTTGTATCCACCCAAAAGATGTGTTGAAGTCCTGACGCCTGGTGCCTGTGACTGTGAGTTTGTGTGGAAACAGGGTCTCTGCAGATGTGATCAGTGGAATTGGCATGAGGTCATACTGGAGGAGGGTTGTTCCTGACCTCATGTGGTGGTTTCCTTATACAAGAAGCTGCACAAGGGGGCGAGGGGTGGGACGGCTGCACAGGCAGGCAGGCAGGCAGCGGGAAGGCGGTCGTGTGACGAAGGCGGAGGCAGAGGCCTGGAGAGGTGCATGTACAAGTCAAGGAACCCCGAGGAGGCAGTTGGCCTCCAGAGGGCCCAGACCCTACTGTCTGACTTCTAGCCCCTGGGCTGTGGGAAATAAATCGCTGTCCTTATAAATCACTCGATTTGTATGACAGTTTTGTTACAGTAGCCCTAGGAAATGAATATAATAAATCAATAAAAACTATGGTTATATCTAGGAAGGGATTAGTAGGGTCAGAAGCATGAATGGACTAATACAGATTTTATAGCCAGATTTTTAAAGCCCTTTATTTGAGTTGATTCTTTTTAACTCAGTCCTTTTACAAATACTGTCATATTGATAAACTACAACTTGCTTTCAAATCAATATTATCTATGATTATAATTTTCTTCTTAGAAGTAGGGAAATCTTAGCCACCAAAGGATTATTTCTTTTTCAGAGCCTTACTTTATTGATCATTGTAAATCATTCCAATTGCCTCCATTATATATACATTCCACTCTGACTTATGAAATAATTAAAATCAATGCTCTCATGTATACTGAAGTTTGTTCTACACACAGCCAAATTCATCTAAGTCAAAAGTATTTTAAGATCGAAGTTGAAAAAAAAAAAGATCGAAGTTGAAAACCACAATGTAAATGGGATAATGTAGAAATCACAGAATTTATATTTAAAATGCAAGAATATGTTGAAGTTCTATAAAAAAAATTTAAGATACATAAATTTGAAGATAAGCATATTTTTTTAAATTGGGACATGTAACAAATAAACTAACTTGTTTGAAAAGCCATTTGTTCCCAATCTGGACTACCAGCTGCCAAAAAGCCCCCACAGGATTCACTCCCGAGAAGTCGATGCTGACTCATAAACGACCCTGGAAGGTGAGCGGAACCACAGAAGCAGTGTGTCCTTTGTTCTAGGTTCTGTCAAGTCGTATTAACAGCTGAGATTAATGAATGGGTCTGGCCAGACCCACAGAAACCACCGAGGGGCCTGAAGCTAACCAGGCCCCATTTGGTAGGTAAGAGTCCTGGGCACAGGCTCTGATGCAACTTCCCGAGGGTGACCAGGCATGGGAGAGGGGTAGCACATCCCTCTTGGAACATGGGAGCTCCATACTGAGATCTCTTTAAGAGCTCACCTGATGTGTTTTCATGTGTGTCCTTTTTGGTTGTAATAAATCTGGTGCTGGAAATATAACTTTGATTCTCAAAGTCCTTCCAGCAAATTAACAAACCCACAGCGACCAGTGCCTGCCTGTTTGACAGTCTGTAAGCTCTTCTGATGCGCAGGCTCTGGGTGGCAAGCGCCTGAGGGCCGCTACCTGGAAAGCTGGTCTGGAAGATGGTGAGCTCTCAGGGCTAAAGCCAGAGAGTGTGCCAGCAGGTAGCTGGAGGCAAGGACGGAAGCGTGCGAAGGTGAGGACCGACCCCATCTCCACACCCTGGGGAAGAGATCCTCACCAGGCCATTTGGCAATGACGGTGTGGGTGGGAACCTCCTCCCGTGGCCTGGGCTTAGTGCCCTAGCACATCTCAGCATCAAAGAAGTAATAAAGGCTGCCAATCAAAGAAAGTAATCTGACATAATGATAAAGGAAAACCACCATGGTTTCTGGAGAAATCTGGCCTGTGAAAAATAGGGTGCTATACCATCTAAGCCCTCAGTAGATCTGACTCACAATGACCGTAATGTTTCTTGAATAATAACTTTTCTTAGGAAATGAATGGGTAAAACTCTCATTGATTAATACAAAAGGAAACAATGAGATTTTTTACAACACGCTAAACTGTAGAATTCCATTACTTCTCCTATAATTGGAATAGTCACAAATGTCTCCTAAATGGTTGCACATTTAACATTTCTATTAAAACAATCAGTTATAAAAAGTAGACAGTTCAAGTGGAATAGTTCTGTTTTTAAATAGTCTCTTTTATTTCTAATATGGAATAGGAATACTTCCCAAGTAGACAATAACTACAAAATTAATATTGTTAAAATCATCACACGAGTGATAAAAATGGACAATATATATTTTAGTTTAAAACTATGAACTTTGAGAGGAATGGTTTAGTGCTAAGTAGGATCTATGGACAACGTCTAGAAAATGTGGGGCTTTAAAAAGTTCATGGAAAATATCCCATTGTTTTTTATTATTCTATGCTTTCTTTTGAATTGAGAAAAGAGGTAGCCAACATCACTGAATGAGTTTTATAGAAACGGTTAAATGAAAACCTAATCTGCTGTGTAATCTTTCACTGAAAACACAATAAAAGTTCATTTTTTTTAAAAAGTGAAGATCCCATTATCTTTTCAATCAATTTTCTCAGGAACATTTTGAGCCTCCTCATATACTTCAATAATTCCTAGTGGTGTCGCTCAGACGCTTGGGCCTTTGGTGAGTCGCTTAGCTGTAGGGTGGGGTGTGCTTTTCTCTCCTCAAAGGGAACCCTGAAGCTGCCAAGCACGAGGAGCTACATTGTGACTGACTAGAGAATGACTCTGAGTGTCTGCGAAGCTCAGTGTTTCCCTGCCCTCCCCTCCTGCTTCTACCGCTCGGTTATCTCGGCATCAACACAGGTACCATGTGAAGTCACTCTTTTGTCACTTCGCAGTCACTCCACTCATCTTCCATAAGCTTTCGTCCGGGCTAACACTCACGCATCCCAGGGGACGTGCTCCCGTGACGCTGTGGGAGCCTTGGGTGGAAGACACCCTATCAGAATAAGCGGATAAACTTAGGACCCAGTGTTGTCATTTGGGAACACAGGTCATTCACACTGGACTTCACTTAACAGTAAAAACAAAGAGAGTTCTGTGTTTTCACCCCTGTTTTGATATGTAAGAATGCTACAGTAAGGAGCATTTGTCTTCCATTTAAACCCAGGAGAAATGATGTAGCAAAATCGCAAAGCCCCAAGTGGAAATAAATATGAGGCTACTTCTCTTTCCTTTTATCATTGACAAGAAGTACCAGCTTTTCATATTTTTACTCCAGAGAGTAAGGAGGTTTGTCGCAACTGAAATGGCCCTGTGCTAGGAGCCTCGCATGGCGCCCCTCTCTGCTTCACATGGTCTCTGCAGCCCCTCACTTCTCTTCTTCTGGAGAGCATGCCCGGCATACAGCGCATGCTCAGTCGAGATCAGCCGCTGCGTGAGGACCTTTGAAAAGATAGCAGTCCCACAGGAACCACTATTCCTTTGTTCACTTCTTCACTCCACAAGTACTTACTGAACAGCTATTTCTTTCCTTCATTCAATCCGTATGTAGAACACAAGAGTAATGACAGGGCGTGTAACATTTCCACGTCCACCGTTTCAGAGAAATGCCGAGTGGGCATCTCACGGAGTTCCAAGCATGCAGATGGCCTTACCTCTCTTACAGACAGCTGTGGTGGGAAGGAGACCGACAACACCAAGTTGGTAAATTCAAACCCAGAGGCCTCAACCTTCTGGCACACCTGAAAATACGTAAATTGTATGAATTGCCAAGAGTTCCTGAAAGCTTTCCTCTCCATAAGATGCATGTTTTTGTTCAAATGACACAATAAGAAATACAGATTTTCATATTGAAGTGTGGGGTTCTCAGGCCTCCTGCAATGAAATATAAATGATGACCCCCCCCCAAGCCTGACACCACCTGCAGAACAATCTGAGGGGTGTCAAATAGCTTTTCTTAGGTCACCTGATAGTTTCTAAGTGTTTCTATATAAAATAAAGCCAAGGGCCGGGGCTTTCTCTCCTTTTTAGCTCCTTGTTAGTGGGGCCGGGAATGAGGAGAGGCGCGGGGAGCCCCGGACAGTGTTTCTTTTTGTGCATGATATGTCGTAGACCCCTTTGCTGGCTTGCACAGTCGTGCTGAGAAAATCAGTGACCAGAAACTGCCTGGGTCGGGGGGACAGCAGAAGATACCACGAGTAGCCCCACTTTTCCTTTTTCCGGAGTGGGAGGACAGTAGGCACCGCTGTCTAGGTCCCCAGGTTGGGGACTGAGTATAGCGCAAGGTCACATGTGCCAGTGCTGTTTGTGACAATGTGGTCTTCCCAAACGACTAGTGGGTTTGTTTGGGGGTTTTGCTTAAGTTCTAAACCAAAACCTAGAGCCAGCTGATACTATTTAATAATCTGGAGGATAAAATAATGGTGTATCAATAAGTGGAGGGTCCTCCTTATGACATATGCTAGATTATGAAACATGTAAAACATTCCACTTTATCCAGCCCCCCCCCTTTTTTTTGGACTTTGTATTTTACTGCATGTCTCCTTCATTTTTAATCGATAAAGAGTAAATTGTCAAAAATAAATAAATAAATAAAGTGAAGCCAAATCTGGCACTCTGGACAGCTGAGAACCAAGACAATTCCACATTCAGTCATTCACCTTCTGGGGTAGTTATGGAAGTTCCTGTCAACTTGATAAACAGGGTGTAAGGGTGGAGTCTAGCCTGTCAATCAGGTCACAGCCTGTTGATGGCTCCGTGGGGGTATGGCCTTCTCATGAGGAGGATTCTGGGAACTTCCTCTCTTTCTCCCTGGAGGTTGACCATACTCTCTCTCTGCTTCACCTTCCTGTGGAGGAGACACTCAGAGAGCTGGAGGAGCCATGTGGAGACCCGCCCCAGCGCTGAGATGCTTCTACCAGTATTGGATTCACAAGCCTTTTCACCCACTAGCCTGTCATCTTCCTGCATTTGGCATCACCGCATGTGCTGCATGAATATAAAGAGGAATTGATAGACTAGTATTGGGCATATGGGCTAATATCGGACTTATGGACTTGATCTGGATGGGGCTGGGATGTTTCCTTAATATATAATTGTTCTTTGATATAAAGTTCTCTTACACACACGAGTGTTTCTGGATTTGTTTCTCTAGTCAACCCTGCCACCACACCTTCCACAAAGCTAGATCACTTGTCGTTTCTAGATGCTGATAGGTATGGCTAAGACATTTTCTCTAACTCCTCCAGAAACTCCAAACCCACTGCAACTGATGATGTGTCTATTGGGCAGGGGAGAACTGGCCCTGTGGGTTTCCGAGACTGTAAGTCTTTACGGCAACAGAAAGCTTCTTTCTCCGGGAAGCGACTGCTGGTTTCAAACTGCTGACCTGGCAGCTAGCAGCCCAGAGAGTAACCACTACACCATAAGGGCTCCGCTAACCCTTTAGCTATGCTGAACAGCAAATGGACAGCAAACTGCTCACTTCTTGATAGTGCTCGTCACTAAAATCCGTGGGTACAGACATTAGTACTCTCCAGGCATCAGGTTGATAAAAAGGTGGTTTGAGAATAGCGGGCTTTTATCTTTTTTTAATGAAACAAAATTAAATGAATGGCATTGTTCCTTTCTGTATAAGAATCTTAGGCCTTAAAAACGAACACTCTGTAATTGTGCATGTGGTACAAAGGATTACTTACCTTTTTAATGAAGTCTTTTTCACAGAATTCCTGAAGAATCCCTAGGCATATATTGCACACATTTAAGCGGGAGGGCCTGGGAGCAATGCTTCCATCTGCAGAGAGCCTTCCCTCCCCATTCTGACTCAGATCAGCAGTCTCATCATCCGACTCTTGCAGTCGAATTTTCTTGAGAGGTGGATTTGGGACTTCCAAAATCACTGTATCCGTTTCAGTTTCTAGGAACTTCTGAAGCTCATTGAGTAAGTCCTAGAAGGTAAATCAAAGAAATAGTGATGGCCCTTTGGCAATGCCCTTAATGGTCTCCAGGTAAAATGAAGCGTGAAAATGTATGACATATCACAAAGTGTTCTAATTTTCAGTTACATAAATTCAGAAGTGCTGATAAACCTAGAACCCCTTCCCAGGGGGACGAATAATGGAAAAGTGGGTGAGGGGCGATGGAGGAAGATGTAAGATATGGAAATAATAATCTGTAACTTATCAAGGGTTCGTAAGAGAGGGTGGGGGAGGGAGGGAAGGAAGGAGAAGAAATGGAGAGCTGATATCAGGGGCTCGAGTGGGAAGAGAATGCTTTAAAAATGATGATGGTGGCAAATGTGCTTGACATACTGGAATGAATGTATGGATTGTGATAAGAGATTTAAGAGGCCCCAATAAAAGTATTTTAAAAAAATCAGAAGTGCTAGAATATGTGTAGTAGGAAAGACAGACAGAGGGACTCAACAGCATAAGACAGGCCCATTGGAGGAAACCTGAGAGGGGCTCTGGCCTGCGTCAAAGGCCCTCTCTGTACAGACCAGCAGGTGTTGTAGGCCTAGTCGAGGGGGTCCAGTTGTGGCTGGGGATGTGTGATTTGGATGCTGCAGGGACCTGGGGTCATCTGCAGGCTTGTGTCCCTGCTATCTGCACAAGAAATCACTGAACAGGATGTTTCTGCAGATAGGGGTTTCTGTGTGTCAGTCTCACCTTCAAGAAGCACTTACCATATATACTCAAGTATAAGCAGACCCGAATATCAGCCAAGGCACCTAATTTTACCACAAAAACTGCTTTAAACATGTGCTGAAAAACTTGGCTTATACATGAGTATATAGAGTAATGTATTTATCAGTCAATGTTGGCTTTATACCAAACCCAATGCCATTGAGTTGATTCCACCACAGAAGGGCCCTGCAGGGCAGCACAGAACTATTTCATAAAATGGCCAAGACTACAATCTTTACAGGGAGAAAGATAAGGCTTCCTACTCCGGTAAACAGTTAATCTAGGAAACCCACCGAGACAGTTCTTCCCTGGCCTGTAGGGTCCCTGTGAATCAAAACAGACTCAATGGCCGAGAGCATCGTTACGGAATCAGACTGCACACCTTCCCCCTGGAAGCAGCCAGTGGGTTCAGCCCACTACCTTTTATCATGAGGCTCCTATTGGCTTGATATGGAATCTGAAAGACAACTGCCTAACTCCTATAAAACACTTGTGCTTTTCTTTTCTTTTTTTAAGGCTTCACATATCAGTTAAGATAAAGTTCTAAGTCTGAGACAGAAAAGTTCTGTTAGCAAATGTATTCATATGGTTTATAGTTCTGTGAAGTAACTGTCCCAGCAAAAGCTTCAATTCTAATTTTTAATATATAAAAATCAAAACGGAATTCCCATTGTTTTAGGTAATTTGATAATCTCGCAATTCCTGAAGCCTCGTGAGTATATTTAATTAATATAAAATCTGAATAATTAAACAGATTTGAAAGTCAATGAAGTAAAGATAATTTCAAACAGATGGCTTACTAAACAAGAGACAAACAGGTTCTGGCAATGTCAAGATTTGACACTATAATTACAAATAATTTATATGTATTAATCGAAAGAAGCCATGTACTAAATTCTGGATTGCCTAATTCTGTCACTCCTTTTATGGTAAAAACTGGCCTTTCTTGGACACTGTCCTTCCAGTTCCAACATTACACTTATCTAATACTCAGAGGACTTTGCCAGCACCACCTTCGTGTCTAAACCAGACAGGTTTGTTATTTAGTTGTTGAATGAATACCATGTTGAAATTCACTCAGCTTTTAATATACTTAGCCTAAAAGGTGGGGAAAATGTTCGCACAAATTTATTTCATTTTATTAAGACTATAGTGCCCATTTTATCTTTCATATAAAAATACTCATACATACAAGTATATTCAGGTATATGTACGTATGTGCATATGAATGTGTATAACATATATGACTAGAACAGATTAAAATTTAAGAACATTTACCCAAAATCATCTTCAATTTTTAAAATATTTATATTAAATGACACAACTAAAAGTTGGTAACACTCAGTCTCTTTATATAATGTATATATACATTATATCTTTAAATCTTATATATATAGACTTATAAATTATAATGTATCTGGGAAAATGTGTAAGATGAGTTACACAAAACCAGCCTTGTGATTTATAGCCATGTTGTGTATAAATGAATACACACATAAATTAATCATCATGGTATATGTACCATACTTTCCAGTTTCCCACGTGCTCTCCCATACGTTATTAGGTCTTGTCCTTTAAAATCCCACAAGCTAGATGTAATCATCATTCCCACTTTAAAGAGCAGAAAACTGAAGTTGGAAACTAGTAGGACTGGGACTCAAACCCGTGTCTTCCAGCTCCAAATTGTGGGCTTTGCACTCACACCAAATGTTCAAATTCTAGTGTGCTCACTTAACTGGTGTGTGACTAAGGCCAGGGTGCTTCACGCCTCTGAGCCTCAGTTCTTCATCTGAAACTAGAGAGTGAGAGGGCGTGCTTACCGAGTGCTTACCTATGAGGATTACATAAGAGCCTGACAGAACAGTGCTAGCCCAACGGTGGGTGTCAGGTCCCAGACAACAGGAACAACCAATTAGACCAGGAAAAATAACGGCTACTGCTAACTCCTCAGTAATTTTAAGATTTAATTATGAGGAAATTTGAGTACAGGAAGCCCCTGGGTTAGAAAGGTCAGACTTGCAGACCATGCCATACCTGCCCTTTAATGTTATGTAAGTTTGGCCTCACTTTTTGTGTTGTTTTTTAATTTGTCTTCACTTTGAAATGATTGAATCAACCCCTATACCAAATCAAAATGAAATTAAACTAAAAATTTGTCTCTGAGTTCAAGGAAAATAGGAACACATTCTTCGCCCCAATCTCCTTCACTGACTGCATGTGCAGCTTTTTCACTGGGGTATGGACTGGAGTCTGCTTGCGCTAAAAGAAAGCTAAGTGAGAAGGCGCTTAGGTTCGACTTATTAACAGATTCTGAAAACGCACAAGTTAGGAATGGATCTTGCTGTAAGCCGGGGACTGCTTGTATTTTTGTTGTAATTTGTTGCATAGCAATGATCATGGTGATGAGGATGATAAATGCTTACTTCTAGAGGATTTTATGCCAGCACTTTACTGTTAATCAAGTGGTAAATACAAATGGTTATAAAGAGAACAGAAAAAGAAAAAGGAAAGAAAAAGCAACCCACTCCTTAATCAGTGGTACTTTAGAATAAGATTTTAAAATGTGCTTTCCTGTAATTAACAGCAGCCCTCATGGCATAGTGGTTGGGCTACTAATCCCAAAGTCAGCAGTTCAAAACCATCTGTGGCAGAAAGATATGGCTATTTCCGTAAACAGAGTCTCGGAAACCCACAGGGGCTGTACTCTCTTGTCCTATAGGGTTGCTATGAGTTGGAATGGATTCAATGGCAGTGAGGTTGGTTTTTTTTACTCCTTGTAAAAGAAGCGCTCATGATCACTGCACACTCTTATTACATTTTAATGATATCTAGTATGGCCATTATTACATTATTTTGTGACAGTCAACTGGATATCCTTTAGGAAAGATCTATATTAGTGTTTCCCAAAGTGGGTAATATTGCTCCCTGGAGAGCTACAAAAGGAGATACGTACATTGTATCTTGGATTATGGGCTGTAGTACCCAAGCTTTTCATTGCCAGGAGGGCCCCGAGTAATTTTTTTCTGCAAAAGAGGTGGTAGGCCAAATAAGTTTGGGAACCTCTATATGAACATAAAAGGCACAATGGAATTGTTTCACAGAGTCTACTCTGCTAAATGTAAGAGGGAATCATTTCATAAGAAACTTGGATTCCTGAGACAGACAGGTTTTTCTAAGACAAGGACAATTCCATAATTACCACTTCAGTGATTATTTTATTATACTTTGTTTCTGTTGGTTTTATTGTTGTTTTCCAAGTTTCATTGGCATATAATTTACATATCATACAATTGAGTCGGTCACCTGTTCAATCATATCAGGGGAATTGTACAATCACCACCACATCTACCTTAGAGCCTTCCCAGTTTTTTGCTTTTTAATGGAGAGTGATGGAGAGATGTCCATTGCCATCCAGTCAATGCTGGCTCATGGAAACCCTATGGGACAGGGCAGAACGGCCCCCACGTTGCCTAGACTAAAATCTTGTTGGAAGTGGACTGGCTGGTGGGTTCCACCCACTGACCTTCAGCCTACAGTCAAGCACTTTAGCCACAGTACCCTCAAGGCTTCTAATGGACAGATAAGTACCCTCACATGTCTAGGTATTCCTATAAAAGTCCAGAGAATCTTTTAAACTAAAAATAATCACAAAATACCTTGTAAGGAAGTTTGTACGGTGTGTGAAAATCCACACCACAGAATCTGAAGATACATCTTGGACAGGTACCAGTACTGAGCAAAAGCCAGGCCACACTCTTGTTTTCCTCAGTCAGTGGAAACATGTTGAGTAACTGCAACTAAAAAGAAAAAACAAAGTAAAACTAAACCCTCGGCTTCTGTATTTTACTTCCACAGATGAATACATCACCTTTGGGGGGAAATCAGTTTTGATTGAGAGACACTATTGGGCAATTCTCCCAGTGCTGCTTTCTTTAGATACAGGTCCTAAAACATGAAGGAAGTTTCTACAATGGAATCAATTTCTCACTGTCAAAGAATGTAGCTGAACTTCCTAGATGAGGATACAGTCAGTGAGAGAGAAGGAGAAAATCATCTTCCTGAATGGTTGTCTCTGAGGAGGATCATGAAAAAAGTCCAGGGTGGAGTTTTTGCTTCTTACGTATTTGAAAACGGTGTTGACTCAATCAGCTTTCTCTACTAGAAATTTAAAATAAAAGTTGCTGTAAAACAACAACCCGATCTGTTTGTATTGTGTTACACTTGGAGTCGCTAGGAGGGCGCAGAGGTGTCAACTGCACTGGGTGGCATTATCAGAGGGGGTGACACCAACATAACTCTGAGATTTTTGTGCAGTATTTCAGCAGAAAAAAAAATTTTTTTAATAAGAAGCTCCCTCTACCAGCACACCTTGTTTTATTGCACCTTTCTCTGTTCTGCTTCTCTGGCATTGCATTTTTTTGACGAATCTCGAAGGTTTCAGTCAATTCTCCAATGAGCAAGTCTCTTGGCCCCATGTTTCTAACACCAGGTGCTCACTAAGCGTCCAGGTGTCACATTTTGGTCATTTTCACATTTCAATTTTTCCCCCCATTATGCTATTGCATCCGTCATAGGTAGATGGCAGTCTAGTGTAAACCTGACTGTTTTATGCACTGGGCAACCCCCAAAATGCGTGCGATTCACTTTATTGCGATATTTGCTTTATTGCTTTGGTTTGGAACCAAACCTGCACTATCTCCAAAGGTATGCCTGCAATGAGTTATAACAAAAACATTTGTGTAAGCCCAGCGTACATGTCTCAATATACCCACTCAGCTAAAACTCTGGGCTAGTTTACTCCTGGAGGCTTCTGCGCGCTCTGCCCAGAGGTGTCAGTATTCCATCACAGGTGCTGCGGATCGCGTGCTTGTGTCTGCATGTGCGACAAACAATGCTGTTTCTTTGTTGCTGCCAGTGTTTCTACAGTGGCTGATTTTGTCAGCTTTTTCTGGTGTTTTACCTACAATATTGTGGAAATTGGTATTTGTGAGGTTATTATCAGTAACTTTTGTGAAAAGAAGGAATAATTAAAAATGGGCTTTCCTGTAATTAACAGCAGCCCTCATGGCTTCTGCTCAGTCACTAGTAACATTATTACGACTAGCATTGTCAGTCAGTGTAGGAGATCTTGCAGAACAATTTTATATGTAGTCATATAACTTAAAAAATTGTACATGTAAGAAATTTATAACTAGTCACATATTTATCACACATGCTCTATGGTTAAAATTTACAATAAACATTGTGAAGCGAGGTGGCGAAGGGATTAGTTATCAGGCATCAAAGAACAAAAAATCGTATCATTGTATGCTCACCTCCCCAAAATGATCGCTGAAGACAAATGGGTGCATAAGCAAATGTGGTGAGGAAAGCTGATGGTGTCCGGCTATCAAAAGATATAGTGTCTGGGGTCTTAAAGGTTTGAAGGTAAACAAGTGGCCACCTAGCTCAGAAGCAACAAAGCCCACATGGAAGAAGCACACCAGCCTGTGTGATCACGAGGTGTCGAAGGGATGAAGTATCGGGCATCAAAGAACAAAAAACCGTATCATTGTGAATGAGGGGGAGTGTGGAGTGGGGATCCAAAGCCCATCTGTAGGCAACTGGACATCCCCTTCTGGAAGGGTCATGGGGAGGGACGAGCCAGTCAGGGTGCAGTGTAGCAACGATGAAACATAAAACTTTCAAACATTTTAGTTCCTAAATGCTTCCTCCCCTACCCCCACCCCTACTATCATAATCCCAGTTCTACCTTACAAATCTGGCTAGACCAAAGGATATATACTGGTACAGATAGGAATTGGAAACACAGGGAATCCAGGATGGATGATCCCTTCAGGACCAGTGGTGAGAGTGGCGACACCAGGAGGGTAGAGTAGAAAGGGGGAACAAATTACAGGGATCTACATATAGCCTCCTCCCTGGGGGACGGACAACAGAAAAGTGGGTGAAGGGAGACATTAGACAGTGTACGATATGACAAAATAATTTATAAATTATCAAGGGTTCATATGGGAGGGGGGAGTAAGGAGGGAGGGGGAAAAATGAGGAGCTGATGCCAAGGGCTTAAGTGGAGAGCAAATGTTTTGAGAATGATGAGGGAAAGGAATGTACAAATGTGCTTTACATAATTGACTTATGTATGGATTGTGATAAGAGTTGTATGAGCCCCTAATAAAATGATTTTAAAAACGTTTAAAAAGTATTGTGAAGGATTCTGCATGGCCTGGCGGCTCTCAAGGGAGCAGTGTGTGAGACACCGGAGTTAACCTACCTACAGGGAATACCAACTCTAGTGGCCCGCTAAGTTTGATTCACTTTAATAAAAGTCAGTCAGCCATTCAAAAGTTATTTCCTAAACCCAAAAGTGTCGATTTCACTTGATAAAAATTTAACTAAGTAACTTAACCATTAGCAAGTGAGAAAAATCTGCTGCCCCTATTCACAAGATCTCCAATTAATTAACAAAGTAAAACCTGCCAAACTGTTTACAATATTTATCTAAAGTTGCTTCATTTTGTTTTGTGTGAAAATACACACCCCTTTTTGCAATTTGAACAAACTCACTTAGTAAAAAGATAACCCAAAAATTCCCTACCCTTGAGTCAATGCCAACCCATAGAGACCCTATAGGACGGGGAACCCTGTGGGTTTCCAAGGCTGTTAACTCTTTATGGGAGTAGAAAACCTCCTCTTCCTCTGGCATGGAAGACACTAGCATCTTTTAATTCATACGGTTTCATAATTCAACTGAATTCACATAAAATGTGTGTTAGGGAGAAGCTCTAGCTAACAAGGGACTATGCAGCTGTTTGTGTTTGTCCACAACTCAAACTTACTTGCAAGTTTCCAAGTGTTTGGGGCCACATGCCAAGAGAAGTAGATCCTTAAAAAAAATAACGCAGCATGAGCCCTTCACCACAAAATCAGTTCGGCAGCCAGGCTACACACTATAGATTGCTTCTGTCTGGTAAATCTGAGTCATCAGGTAAAGGAAAGAGAAGAAAATCAGGCTTGTCTGGACATACCAGTAAGAGGTTGGAATATCCGGATTGAGAAACACTGACTTGGAGTGGCCTACGTGAATGTGGGTTCCAGGGTATTTTCAAATAAGCATATAGAGCGAGTGGAAAACACCCTTTAAATAATGAAACTATGCAGTCAAGTCATTATTGCATACATCGATCGGTATCTCTCCCCTCTGTCGTTTAATCGTCTAGTTTTAGTGTTGCCTTGGAAGGAAGAATGATGCTCTGAAGGACTGAACATCAGCAGTTCAAGTCCATCCCTTGAACTACATGTACTCCCATTACATGTAGAGGCATGGTTTCTGACTCACTCTTTATTACCCCTTTACTCCTACGCTACAAGGCTTTCATTTAAGCCAGAATTACCTTTTAACCAATTAAGAAAAAAATCAGTGTGGTTTGATTTTTTTGAATGAGCTTAAAAAAGACACTTTGTTGGGACTCAAAGTAGTTACATGCTACTTTGTATGCTCTATATATACCTCAACACCAACACCCCCTTTGACTTAAAGACTGAGACAAAAGTGCTAAGTCAAATCTCCTGGCAGTGAGCAGTTTGCAAACCTGCTAAGAATGAAGACAGCCCCTGCCCGGACCAACTTGAAAAGGTTTTTAAACAGGCACACATTAAACGAACAAAATTAACATGTGTGTGTCTGTGTGCACGTGATTAGTCATTGAGCTATGAACCGCTCAAGATCTTCACCTGGCAACAATCTAGCAACTTCTCAAGCATGTCGACATTAGAGGAAATACGTTTTAAGATTGGCTGCTGCTACTCCATGTTGAGCCCTGCCATGGCAGTGTCTTAAACAAAAGTCAGTTGTATCAGAATGATTATCTTTGATAACGAGTCCTGAGAAATGCACCCCACGCAGTAAGGTCTTTATTGTTGGCTACCTTCGTTGTTTATTTGTTTTTCGTTTATGTTTGTTTTACAGAAAGAACCCTGAGACAAGTCATTGCAACAGAACCTCCTCCCAAGGGTAAAGGGTTTCTCCGGGGATAGAGTCCCTTCTCCGCAAGTCACTAACTAGCCCAGTTTCCCAAAGGAGAAGATGGGCTTTTCGCCTTTTTGGACGATGACAGCAGAACTACTGCGAAGGAAAGCGCAAGGGCCACTAAAACGGACCAGACTTGGGCTCCACATCCCAAAATCCTTTAAAGCTCATCCCCATAGAGAAGGGGGCGGGCGGGGAAGTGAACGACTAGCGGGGCAGGCACTCACAACTTCACTGAGCTACCAGCTCACTTGGCGGTAGAAACTGCCATGGACTCTTGGAAAGTTCACCCCACGATCTAACCTCGATTTTCTTTTTGCCAACCCATCCCTTCCCCCGCCGCGTCAGGTCCCAGGAGCCTCCCACTCACCCTCTCCTTGCTAACAAAGCCGCCCCAGCAAAGAGAGAAGCCACCCTGTCCACCCACACCTGCCCCGGGCCCAATTCGGACCCGCGCCCCCAGCCTCACCTTTGCCCACGACGAGATTTAACCCCTTCCGCCCCTCAGAAGGAACGGGGAAGACTAAAGAAGTGCACCCATTGCGCGCAGGGACTCTGTTCCCCCAAGAAACGAGAGCGTCAGGACGAGAGTACCGGGCCCTCGCGCGGGGAAGGAATGCGCTCTTCCCTGAGTTGGAAGGGAAATCTGTGCAACAGCCTGCTTTTGACGACACACCCCACCTTCCCGCGGCTGTAGGTGTGAATGGGACCTTATTCCCGGCCTAAGGGGTTCCGACCCCAGAACAACACCTGGGAATACTCCTTCGTCCAGGATATAGTAGCCGCTGCCAGATATATCGATGAGCCTTTACGCTCAGGTGGAGAATGGAAATCCTTTCCAGGGCCAGTAAGCAAGAGTATTTTATCGCAGGCGTCCCTTTGCCCCCTAGGCAAGGCTAGCCGAGCGTGGCAAGCGCAGTCCCGCCTGCAGAGGTGGGCGTGGTGAAGGGCTCGGAGTTCTGCACATCGTGCCTGGCGCGCGCCGTCCTGGGGGCGGGGCGGGGGGGGCGGGGATCCCGGCCTAGAACCGTGGAGGCGCCGAACGGGAGCCCAGCGGAGGTGAAAGAGATGGCGTCCCAGCCGCCGCCTCCCCCCAAACCCTGGGAGACACGCCGAATTCCGGGGTCCGGGCCAGGACCAGGCCCCGGCCCCACTTTCCAGTGAGTGTGGGATTCCTTCGGGCCGAGCTTGAGCTCCGGGACTTGGCGAGAGGCAGTTGAGGCCGTTGCAGGGCATTCCCTCTCGCCCCCAACCCCGTCCAGTCAGCCCCCCAACTTTGAGAGTCGCTGGGGGGCCGGCCGGGAACCGATGAGGTGGCTCGTTGTTCAGTTGCTATTCCTGACTTTGCAGCCCGTGGCTGCGGCGATTTTTGAGGGACTCCCCAGCGATTCTCGGGGTCCCCGTGCCTGGAAGAAAAGGGGGCGGCTGCCTGCTCCTTGCTGTTTGCGAACACCTCGACGCAACCGCCTGAACCGGGGCTTACAGCTTTTAGACCTTTTATCTTGAGCAACAGGCAGGGGTATTTGCCCAGCCTTGTCATCCGTAGGGAGCAAAGTCTCGTAAAAGCGTGTGCCCACCTCTCGAGAAGTTGGTGCAAGCCCAAAAAGGTCACTTTTACGGAACCGGAAGCCAAGCCTGTTCGCTTTACGTTCTTTTTCAGTTTAATCCCGCTCATGTTTGCGATTGAGATTTTGAAGAAGCAACTTTAAAGCTCTCAATCTACGGTTGTTCTTTGTGTATAAAAATTATGTATTTTTCTAGGGCCTTTATTACTTTTACCCCCCTTCTTCTCTTAAAGCTGTTCCAAAGGAGTGTAGAACTCACAAAAGATGAGAATATACAGAATTTGAAACTTCTGGACAGTCATTCCAATGAGACTTGGATGTCAGTGAGATTTTCTAACAGATTTAACTGTATTTCTGCTGTGTTCTAATACCTCATTATCTTTCGTTAAGCGGTGAGTAACCCAGTGTCCTGTGGGTTATGCGTTGGGCTGGTAACCACCAGGTCCGCAGTTCGAAAGCCAGACGCTCTGCGGGCAAAAGACGGGACTTCATACTCCCGGAGCAGTTCTACGCTGTTCTGTGAGGGCAGAGTAGGCAGGGAGTTTGGTTTGGTTTTCAGTTGAACAAAATAGCCGGCTAATTTGATAATGATAGATGCATAACAAATAATAGGCCTTAATTATGCTTTTAAACTGATGACACTTTCTGCACTTGTCTAAGACAGATTCTGGCTTTTTTTTCCCAAATTGGACTGCATGTTGAGAGTGTGGTTTTAGTCTTGAACATGTTGAAGTAATGTTTAAACTGTTTGTGGTTGTTAAGAAATATTTGAGAAAATAGACACCTCTAACCCAGTAACCACTTGCAGTTGAGTAGACTGAGTAGACTCTGACTCACGGACACCCCAACCACGTCAGAGTACAACTGTGTGCCACAAGGTTTTCACTGGCTGATTTCCTAGAATTGGTCACCAGACCTTTCCTCTGAGGCCTTCGGGGTAAACTTGAACTTCCAGTCTTTCTGTTAATCAGCTGCTAGGGAGGAAGATAATGAGCACTTTTGATTCACCAGACAGCCTTAAGAAATAGTAACATATTTTTCTAAGATTAGAAATTTTTGGAGAAGCTGTTAACTCTCTTGCGTTTCTTCTTACTAGCAGTAAGTAGTGTCTCTCTTTGATGTTTATGGTACTCAATTAATGGTTTGATATGTTAGTTCTGAGGCTAGTTCTTAGTTTTATGTATGGCATTGTTTGGTACATTTCTAAGCTATCCCTCAGGAAACCCTGGTGGCTGTTGTCAGGTAAACATTCGAGGTCAACCCACCTCTTGGAGAAAGATGAGACTATCTGTTCCAGTGAAGCTTTACAGCCTTGGAAACCCCGCGTACGGTTATTGTGAGTTGGAATTGTCTTGATGGCAGTAGGCTTGATTGTTTTGGATACTCCTCACTTAGCTCTCTCATTGTCCAACATTTTTAATTTACAGCAATAGTAAACAAATCTATCTAACTATTTTGTGCATAACTATGTATGTCTGGCAGTAACTAGCACAGAGGTGGGAGGCGAGAGTAATGCTTCTGGGATGATTAAGATTATGTATCAACGTGGCTGGGCCCTAATTCTCAGTGGCATGGCAGTTATGTAATGACGCTGTCATTCACCATGTTGTGATCTGCTGTGGTCATGCTTCCTTTCACATAGTGGTGGTCTTTGGTAACCCTGTCAATAAGTGAGGAGTGGGGATACCTTCAGACAGGGTATCGTTTCACAAAATGTTTCTGTTTCCCACTAAATACTATGTCTTTGGAGGTTTCTCTTGTCGGCAAGTGTACCTGTGTGGGTCCCATTGTATCTATTTGGACTCAGACCTCTCGTGGGCACAGCAGAACTGCTCCGTGGGGTTCCCAAGGCTGTGACCTTTCACAAGTAGATCCCCACGCCTGGCATCCCACGGTGCTCTGAGCTCGTTCAAAGTGCCAGGAAAAGTTCCACTCTGTCCTATAGGGGCACTATAAGTCGTAATCGACTGACAGTGAGTTTGGTGTAACAGAGATTCAGATTTTGAGTTCTGAAACCCAAAATGGGTCAGTCAGAGTTCAAACACCTTCATTAAAATTAAAATGTTTCCAGTCTTGTTAGAAGATTGCACAACTTCTCCCCCTGTGCACAGAAACTATTAAAAGAAAAGTTAGAATTTTTCTTATAAAGAGCCTTGGAATCAGCCTTACCTCTGAGATATTTAACATGAATTATCCATTGACTTTTATGTGTTGAAATGTGTTCTGAAGTGCTTACTGAATAATTTAAAGAAGAAAAATTTAGATCTTCAGAATATTTATGAAAATGTACATCCAACAACTCCTCAGGCCTACCCCCTTTGTTCATACCCAGTAGGTGATTCTGGCAGCTTATCAAAATAAGCCAATTCACCAATTGGATAGAATGCAGGATGAGACTATTTATTGAGAATGAGTGCTCAGGAGAGGACCCCAGGTAGTGTCTAGTCCGGGTAGACTAGAGAAACAAATTCATAAACATGCATATGTGTATAAAAGAGAATTCTATATAAAGGGCAATTTTACATTAAGAAAACAACCCAGCCCAGTCCAGATCCAAGTCCATAAGTTCAATATTAGTCCACATGTCCGATACCAATCTAGAAAGTCCTTTTCAGACTCACAAAATACATGCAGTGACACCGAATGCAGGAAGATCACAGGCCAGTGGATTGGAAGTCTTCTGGATCCAGTGCCGTTGTAAGCATCTCAGCGCTGGCAGAGAGAGAAGTCTCTCTGCCTGCAAGGAGGAAATATCAGATTTCCCAGAATTCTCAGGAGAAGGCCATGCCCACACAGAGGCCTCATTGGCTATGACCCGATTGACAGACTAGACTCCACCCCTTAACTCTTAATCCTCTCAAGTCCCAAATTGACACCAGATTATGTAACTACCTCAAGTGGATTACACATTGGACTGCTAGCCAAGGTCAGCAGTTGAAAACCATAAGCTGCTTCATTAGAGAAGATGCGGCTTTCTACTCCCATAAAGATTTATAGTCTCAGCGACCCACTGGGCAGTTCTGATCTGTCTTACACGCTTGCTATGGGTCTGAAACCACTCTATGACAGTGAATTTGGGTTTGGGGGTGCCCAAGAAGACAGGCAGAACCGTGTCCATTAGAATGTTTCTTTAGCATCTGTAACCAAATATTTTGCTTATACTTGGTTTTAGATGTCAGTGTTATTTCATCATTTCAAAAGGCCTTGCTGCTCTTCTTAGAAGTGTACTTTTCATGGTCCTAAGAGAAATGTTTGTGTTTCCTATTTGAAAAGACGTGTTACTGGTTCTGTGCTCCCTGGAGTGTTCCTGCTTTGTGAAAGTCCACACTGAAAGCAGCCCCCTCCCTGTACCTGGTATCTTTCCAAACCTTGTCTCTCACTACTTGATAACTTTTACCGTAGTTAACCTGGGCCTTTGATAGCTCTGCTCAAAGGGAGGCGTGATCTGTTGCCAGAAACAGCTGAACTAAGTGCTGTATCACCTGGGTAAGATTTGGGAGACATAACCTCTGTGCATATAAGATAAAGATCAGCCTAACATCGCAGACTAGATAGCCATCCAATGGTTTTAAAATTTTAATTTACAAAAAGAGACCTTTTGTACAGATTTTAAAAAGATTTTCATAGAGTTATGTATATGATCAAGAGTTCTTTACTCTCCCAATGCCACCGAGTCGATGCCGACCCATAGCGGCCCTATAGGACCGAGCAGACTGCCCCTGTGAGTGTCTGAGACTGTAAATCCTTGTGGGAGTGAAAAACCTCATCGTTCTGCCACGGAGCAACTGCAGTTGTGAACTGCTGACCTTCTGGTCGGTAGACCGAGGGGTAACACACTATGCATCTCTTAAATGCCAAAAGGACTTCTTAACCTGTACTTTTGATCAGATGGTTAGCCTTTTCTGTCTATTTGTTGAGAATGTCTGAAAAACATCTGTTTTGTTTTTGTTTTTAATCCACTTCTTGGAGCCATGGGTTAAAGGAAGTTTCGTAGACAGAGCGTGGGGGCAGGGGTCTTCTGGGCTGTCTGGCCTGGAGCTAGGTCATCTGGTTCTCAGTGCTCTCTTTGCTTGGAGCGGTTCATCTGCTTTTTTTTTTTTTACATTTTTTTAGGAGCTTTTACAGATATTATTACAGTCTAAAATTCCATTAGGTCAAGCATAATTTTACAATTGCTGGCATCATCATTTTCAATACATTTTCTTTCTTCTTGAACTCCTTGATATGAGCTCCCCTTTATCCCCTCCCTCACCCACCCCACTATCCCCCTGAACCTTTACTATATTGTATATTATTATTATTATTATTGGGGGGATGCCATAACTTATACCATCACATGTATCCATTCCCCTAAAATTCAGATGCTTGTTCCCCTCGAGTGGGATTATAAGTCATTGCTATCAGGCCTCCTTCCCGGTTCATCTGCATTCTAGCTGCACAGATTGTGAGCTGAGTTTCTGCCCTTCAGATGAAGATGAGTTATCTTAGCTTTTAAAGGAAAACAACAGAAGTCGGTTAGTCCATCGTGAATTCTAACAAAATTGCGGTTAGAACAAAAGCAGAGGCCAGGAGGCTTCAGCTAAATAGGCTGCCTG